TTTTTTTTTGAGACAGAGCCTCAAGCTGTCCCCCTGGGTAGAGTGCCATGGCATCACAGCTCACAGCAACCTCCAACTCCTGGGCTGAAGCGAGTCTCCTTCTTCAGCCTCACCCTCCCAAGTAGCTGGGACCACAGGCGCCCGCCACCACGCCTGGCTATTTTTTTGTTTGCAGCCACCATTGTTGTTTGGTGGGTCTGGGCTAGATTTGAACCCACCACCTCATATGTATGTTGCTGGCGCCTTAGCCACTTGAGCCACAGGCGCCGAGCCTATTTTTTGGTTTTAGTAGTTGTTGTTTGGCAGGCCTGGGCTGGGTTGGAACCTGCCAGCTCTGCTGTATGTGGCTGGCGCCCCAGCTACTGAGCTACAGGCGCTAAGCCAGTTGGTTTCTTTTAAATTCTTAGTAACAATGTCCAGTTGTTTTGAAAACAGCCTGGGGTTTCATCCCCACTGGGGGGTGGTAATGAGGGTGCTGTTCTTTTATCTCGTCATCCCATCCTCTCAAGAGCAAAAGTATCTGTAGGGACAGTGGGTAGCTAGGATGGTGCTGGCTGGGGGGCTCTGGGAGCATGGCCTCATGGCAGCCTCCTCTGTCCCCTGTGACCCCCAGCTGAGTTCTCCACATACCTCAACTTTTGCCGTTCCCTGCGGTTCGACGACAAGCCTGACTACTCTTACCTGCGCCAGCTCTTCCGCAACCTCTTCCACCGACAGGGCTTCTCCTATGACTACGTCTTCGACTGGAACATGCTCAAATTCGTGAGTCACTTGGAGGCCAACGCGGGCTTGGGGGACCAGGTTGGGAAGGCCCTGACTCAGGGCAGAGTGACCTGGTGGCAGACAGGCCTCCCAGCAAGCAGGAGGTATGAGCTGGACAGTGTAGCCAAACTCACTGGGATCCGAGAGCCCCCTAAGCTCAACCTTCTCAGTGCTGACAGCACATGCCACCATGGCCAGCAAGGCCTGGGCAGGCTAATGCCTCCTACCAGACCGAGGAGGACCTGGCTTGGCCTTGAGTCCCTTCTGGGTGCCTGTGGCGCCGCAAGGGTATTGCTGGTGGCCCCCCCTGCCACCTTGGTACTCGCCTACACTGGCCTGTTGCTCTTGTTCTCAATATGCCGGGTGGCTGCCTCTGTTGCAGCCTCTCTGGCCAGCTTGGGCCCACTTGTAGTTATTTCTTTCTTATTGGTCATGGGACCTTGGGTCTTGCTAGGCAGCTGTTCTGTCTCCCTCGTTTAAGGGTCCTGGGTGGGGGGGGTGGGAGCAGTGTTCGTCAGTTGTGCCTAGAGCTCTGGAATCCGTGAAATTGTGTCTTGTTTCGCACCTCTTCTGGAAAAGGGGGCTTCCTCGAGCCAGGCTCAGCCCCGTGACAGTGAAGCTATCACACCATTCTGTCCCCGCCCCTGTCCCTGTGCCGGGCCCACGTTCCCACCCACGTACTGGTAAGGATCCTCCAAGGGCTGGCCTTTCTGTGATCTGCCACTTGGCCAGTGATTGCTAGAGGCTGAGCCTCCTCTGTGCTCTATGTATCCCTTCTAGGTGCCCGGCCCCCCTGGGCACCCAGGACCCCCCAGATAGGCCCATGGAAGACGTGGAGGAGGTGGAAGAGCTGCCCCCCCAAAACTACTGGCCTGTGGTCTGGACTTCAGGGCCCTGTTTCTGATGTTGCTGGGTGCGCCTGAGCCTGTCAGGGCAGGCCTGAGGAAGTCCTCTGCAGTGATAAGGGTGACTCCTATGCCTAAGAGGTGGCAGTGCAGTGCAGAGGGTGGGGTGGAGAGGCCCTGCCTCAGATTCTTGAGAATGAACCAGCTGCCTGAGGGCAGAACAGAGCCTGGAGGAGAGATGGCAGTGTGCCTGGGTGTGGCAGAAACGGGCACCAGGAGCAGGCTCACAGCCAGACCCCAACGCTGGCCTCTGTATTGCACCTGAGCTCATTAAACTCCTCCCCTCCTTCATCCTGGTGTGCGTCTCCCTTCATGTGGGCCCTCAGCCCATTTTGCCGGATGCTAAAGAGCAAGGCTTTGTTCTCCCAGACGTGGAGGTCAGCGCCTTGGGCTTGGGCCCCTTTTCTCGCTGGGTTTCAGACAGTGTCCTGGTCCTGTTCCCTACGGAGTAAGACAGGTTGGGCAGAGAACAGGGGTCTCACAGGCCAAGAACCTCAGGGAGAGGCCTCTGTTGCCCTCCCCTGTAAGGGTAGAGGTGGCAGATGGGCAAGGGGGCATGCCTTTTCTTTTACCCCAGACCATCTGGGCCAGACTGGGGCCCCCAGGGCTAGCTTTTTTCACCTCAAGGCATCAGGCGCTGGGCATTTATTTGCTTATCACTATACAAAGTTGTTCCTGAGTCTGATTCTGTGACAGGCTTAGGCCTTCAGCTCAGCACAGCTCTAAGAACGGATTTCTCATTCTCTAGATCTCTGCCATCTAATATAGTAGCCACTGGCTACATGTGGCTAATTTTTAATTAAACTTAATAAAAACTGAAAATGTAATTCCTCAGTCCTATTTGACACATTTCAAGTTCTTAGGAGCCATAAGTGGCTGACCAGTAGTCAGCACATCCAACAAAACAGATATGATCATTGCCTTCATCCCAGAAAGTTCAGAGGACAGCACTGCTCTAGATGCCTCCTTGCAGAACTTCTCATGGGACTGTCCAGCCAACAAGATCTCTTCTCAAGCCAAGCCAGGAGCACCCTCCCTACCTACTGCTGGTGTCTGAACCCCTCCTTCCTGAAGTCCCCTTTGGGGCAGGTCCTGGAGTCAGAAGCTGGGCAGCAACGCCCACAGCGTTACCCTCCTCCAGCCTCTGGCCTATCACTGGTCAGCCACCTCCATCAGCCCCTGGCAGAAGTATCTGTAGGATGTACAGTGGGAACCTTCCACACCTTTCACTCTTGAGAACAGGCTCTCCCACACTACCCTGTCCTGCAATCTTTTGTTAGCACCTGGCAGAGGACAGGACACTGCTGGGTACCACCAGGCTGCAGACTCTCCTGTAGGGAGGATTCTGCCTTCAACCTCCTGGGAGTGGTTCACTGTTGTTCGGCCTCAGGGCACTGGGATCCCCAGAGCCCTGGGCCTGGATCCTGCTCTCAGCACACATGGCCACCGTGTTCTGAGGTCTAGCTGGCAGCGGAGAAGAGATGCATAGCCATGGACATGTCCATACCGCAAGGGTGGAAGCTTTTGTGACATGGCTGAACCTTTGTATTTTCTTGTGGGGAAGCTCCTTGATCTGCATTTCTTGAGGCATTGCTTGGGTTGGATTGAAATGAGGAGAGTTGGTTTACCTCCTTCCTCTGAGGCTGGTTTTGGCCTGAGCTTGCTGGGGTCCCACTGGGCTGTGCACCTTGGAGCAAATCAGTTAACTGGGGAATGAGATTAACTTAACGTTGCAAAGTCAATGTTCCCCTGTCCACGGGAGGTTTGATAAGTGGTGTACAACTCTTATTTATCCCGTGGTCCCTGGTGTAGCTCTGGCTGAGTCACCCTTTTGCCATCTTCTAACTGAATGAGTGGGAGCCCAAGGGGAGGACCAGAGGTCAGGAGCTAGATCCCTGACTCCCAGGTCTGCCTGCTAGGCTTCTGGGTGGGTGGATGGAGAAATGTGCCCCTAGAGTATTCTGCTAAGGCAGGTCTCTGAACAGCTTTCTCTTGGAGTACAGTGGGACTAGGTGGAAGAGACCTGGGTTCTGACCTCAGCTCTGGAGCTGTGTGACCCCAGGCAGGTCAGGAGGCTCTTCTGAGCCTTAGTACCTTGCTAGGATCCATCCAGGGATTGTTGTGATCCCAGCCACCACTTCCTAGAGTTAAAGGCAGGCCTACCCTAACCCTATTTCTTGGCCAGGACCCTGGGAGAGACATGGGTTACAAAAACCCTACCCCATGGCCCATGAGCAGGCCCCCAACTCAGCCTATAGCTCTCTCCTCCACAGATGCGGCCCCCCTCCTGCCAGCCCCCCGCCCTTCTCTGTGGACACCCCCAGGACCAACTAGGTAAAGCAGCCATGTTGCTCCCACACCTTTCCTCTCTGGCCCTTTCTCATTTCTTCTGCACAGCAGCCGGCAGTGGCTGGAGGGCAGGGCTCAGGGGACCCCTTTTGTCCCTACCTTGCCACTTGATTTCTTCTTCCTCCATGGGGTACTGAGCCCCATTTTCTTCTCTAGCTCCCCCTGAGCTGCTATCCCAAGGCAGGCAGCATCTTGGGGTCCCCTGGGCCTCCTGGCTGTGGCTTCCACAGCATCTGTCAGAAGCCATTGCAGATCCCAGGGCAAGGGAATGATGGCCTTCTCATGAAAAGAGCCCTTAGCTGTGTAAGCCCCCCAAGTCCTGGCCTAGCATTCTTTTTTTTTTTTTTTTTGAGACAGAGCCTCAAGCTGTCCCCCTGGGTAGAGTGCCGTGGCATTACAGCTCATAGTAACCTCCAACTCCTCGGCTCAAGCGAGTCTCCTGCCTCAGCCTCCCAAGTAGCTGGGACCACAGGCACCCGCCACAACGCCCGGCTATTTTTTGGTTGCAGCCGTCATTGTTGTTTGGCGGGTCCAGGCTGGGGATTCGAACCCGCCACCTTAGGTGTACGTGGCTGGCGCCTTAGCCAGTTGAGCTATAGGCGCCGAGCCCAGGCCTAGCATTCAACTGGTTTTGTGACTGGGTCTGTCCTTTCCTCTTTCTGGACACCCCTTCCCTGTCTGCTAGTGGCCCCTGACACCTTTACCTGCTTGGTTTGTAAGCCTTGAGGGGCTGATGACTCTTGGTACACAGAGGGACCCATGGTAGGTCCTAGCCCCAGGTTGGGAGGGTCAAGGGATATCCTTGGTTATTGTAGGGACATCAGCTCTCCTGGCTCTGATTCCAGCCCTGTGAGACCATGGCAGACTGACCTCCCTCTGTCCCTCAAATGTCTGCTGTTTCCTCTTCCAGTGGTTGTGTGGCTTCATTTCTCTGCTGTGTGACCGCGGGGAGGAGGTTAGACTAGAGGGTTTCTGAGATGCCCACTTGGCCTCCCCTACTCTGCTGTCCTGTGAGGTGCTAGGGCCCAGAGTACCTGGGCCTCCAGGGCTGACTGAGGTCTCCTCCCTACAGGGTGCATCCCGGAACCCCGAGGACGTGGACCGGGAGCGGCGAGAACACGAGCGCGAGGAGAGGATGGGGCAGCTGCGGGGGTCCACGACCCGGGCCCTGCCCCCTGGCCCCCCCACAGGGGCTACCGCCAACCGGCTCCGCAGTGCAGCCGAACCTGTGGCCTCCACCCCAGCCTCCCGCATCCAGCAAGCTGGTAAACGGGGCCTCAAGCAATGAGGGGCAGCGGGGGGTGGGGGGTCGTGGGCTATTTCTGCGCCGACTCTGAGGGTGGCTTCCATTACCTCATCCTCTAGGCAATACATCTCCCAGAGCGATCTCACGGGTCGACCGGGAGAGGAAGGTGAGTATGAGGCTGCACAGGGGCGCGCCTGCCAACGTATCGTCCTCAGACCTCACTGGGCGGCAAGAGGTCTCCCGGATCCCCGCCTCACAGGTGAGCTGCCCTAAACCCAGCCACTCCCAGTCCCTCTGGGTCTCATGGCTGAGCTTCAGACCCTATAGAAACCCCCTAGTGTGGACTCAGGCCTCTTGGCTCTGTTCTCCCCTCTCCTGACTCATAACCTAGAACCCGGAGTTGGTCTCATTTAATTCTCTGAGGCCTAATTAGCCCCATTGAGCAAAGTCAGAAAGGAGGTTGAGAGAAGTAACATGCCCCAGCAGGTAGGAGAGCTGCCCCCAGGTGGGCAGCAGGGCCTTAGAGATGAGACGCTTGTGCTCCCTGCCAGGAAGAAGGCCCCCTCACTGGCCAGAGAATGGGATGGATGAGTGGGTAAGGTCCTAACCAGTGGCTATACTCAGGCCATGTTTGGACTAGGACAGTTGGGAAGTGGGGGGGGGGGGTTGCCAAGGGAAGAGGATCTGGCAGAGGTGGGTGGAAGACTTGCTCACCTCCTGCTTGTGAGGGAGGGCCTCCACCCTGGCCACCGATTTGGGTGTGGCCTGCCACAGTCAGCTGGGACATCACACACCTTCCCTTAACTTGAGGGGCTTGATGGGGGTAAGAGGAGCTCCACCCTGGGAACAGATTTCCTAATCACCCTTCCCAGCAGCTGAGGGACTTGACTTGAAGCTTGTCCCCCCAAATCTCTTCCCCTTCCCCAAAGACAAGCGTGCCATTTGACCATCTCGGGAAGTGAGGAGTGCCACCATCGGACCAGTGTTTGCTTAGGTGAGTCAATGTCTGTTGTAAACACAGCCCAGCCTAGCCAGGTCTAGAAACACCCACAGCCCCAGGAGGAGCCCAGTTGTGGAAAGGGTTCGGGGAGTGGCAGATGGTATCAGGTCCCCCCAAACCAAGGAATCTCAGGGAGGGCTGAGGCATCCTCTGAGCAGGCCTGGCCCCACGTGTGTTAATTGCTGCTGCAGAACTCTTGCCCTGCCCTTGAGCCAGTCTTTTCTTTTAATATAGTCTGGAAAGTTGATCGTAGCATTGACCAGGTCATGGGCTCCTGACCTCTGGCTTGTTAATCTAAATTAATTCATACAAAGCACTTAGCGCAGGACTGTTGGCTTAGGAGTTCACCTGCTGTGGAAGCAGGCCCCTGTTGGCCTTATAGGGGCAGGATAGGCCCTTTTGCAAGTGGAAGCCTCAGTCCTTCCTCCAGGACTCCATGAGGCCCTGAGGTGGTGAATAGTAACTCTCCACTCTGGGGCCTGGCTTGGGGAAGGGGAGGTGTCAGAAGGCTCATTGAGTATGTGAGGAAACAGTCTGAGCTCCATGGGGAAGAGATGTACATTGGGAGGTGGTCGTTTGCAGTCAGGAGACTCAGCCTCACACCAAGACATACTGGCTTTGCAGAAATTCGTCCACACAGCAGAGACATACACAGGGTGGACCCTCATCAGGCCATCATGGCTGGGTCGGGCTAGTGTGTGGCCAGGGAGCTGCTCACCAGGAGGGTGAAGGAGGGATAGAGACTGTTTCTTTCACATAAAAATGGAGTACCTCCTGTGTACTGGGCCGTGAGCTGGGTGCTAGGACCCAGAGGACAAGAAGACAGGAGTTTAGGAGAGTGTGGCAGATGGGTTATCTGGAGGCAGCAGTGTACCTAACCTCTCTTCTCTCTTTCCCTTCTAGTGTCTTCACTGTATTTTCATTTAAACAACAATAAGATGGAAAAAAAAAAACACTCAAAGACCCAGCACAAAACCGACGATGGATTTTGTTTCTTTAAGTTTTTTTTTTTTTTTTTTGGGCCAATGGCAAGAAGATGAGACACCCTTAACACTGCGGAACCTTGCTCCCTGGCATCACAGGCTGCCCAGCCCATCTCCACAACCCTGGGCCACAGGAGGCAATTGCCGAGTCCCCAGCCCAGCCACCTGTTCTGCCACCACTCACACTTGCTAGAAGAGGAATGCCTTAGTGCTGCAGCTGGGTCTCACATACCATCAGAAGTGGTTGGAGGAACTCATGTCAGGAAGTGGTGTGGTCACTCAAAAGCAGGTCCCACTGCGTTTTATGAGCCTCGGAATTGAGGAGACACGCACAGCCCCCACCTCTCCTTTGCCTCACCTTGGAGACCTCAAGTGGGTGGGGAGGTGGCAGGGCCAAGATGCTTTGTGTGTTTGCTTTGTGTGTTTGTGGCTGTATTTGACCTGTGTTCCCCAGGGCAGCAGGTGCTGTGTCCCCGCCTCCCAGGGTGAATTCCTTTCTCCCATGTCTCCTAAACGGGCATGGAGTGGGCTGTGACATCCACATCCCTCAGGGCACAGAGGGTCCTCACCACCCCCAGACTGTCATCAGCCTGGCAGCCCCACCATCCATTCTTGGTCTTAGGGCAGAATCTGTGGAGACTACTTCTAAAAACATCTGACTATGGGTTATAAATTACTCCCCTGGTTCAGATAGTCACCTGGGATCTCTCCTCTCCCTAGGTTTCACCTTTCTGAGGAGGAGGAACCTGAGGTTAGGATCGAGTGTTGGATTTCCCCATCCTTCCTAGTTAACTCCTGGTTTTGTTTTTATTTTTGTTTTCTCTGTGTGTTTTTCCTAATTTATTTACCTCTGTTTCCCCTTTTCCCTTTTTTTTTTTTAATTACAGAGCAAAGCTTTTTATTACTTTGTAATTTAAAAAACTGAAAAAAATACTGAAGAACTTTGGGGGGAATTTTGTACTTTTTTCCTGTGTAAATATTGGACTTTTTTGAGCTTTATCGTGGTTGTTAATTTGAAGTAATAAAGTAGAAAAGGATAATGTGATGTGGGCAGCCCTTTGTCTCTCTCTGCCCCCGGGACTTCTCTCATCAGACCTGAAAGGGGGTGTTTCCTGGACCAGTGTCACTGAAGAACAAAACCTCTCCTCGGAGGCAGGTGCGGCTGGGACCACATTCATCTCAGACGCTTGAGCAGTGGCTGGTCTGTCTGGGGGGCCACCTGGGGTCTTGTTGCACTGGGATGGTGCTGAATGCATCTCCCACACACTCAGGATGGTGCTGATGGCCCAGGACTCCACTTTGGGAAGCAGAGTACTAAAAGCTCTTCACGACATAATTTTATCCACACAAGAATTGGTGAGTTAGGTCCTATTGATAGCACTGCCTTCAGAAGAAGAAATGTCCAGGGGTAAAATAACTGGCAGATTCAGGTTTTGAAGCCCAGCCCATCTTGCTCCAAAACAGTTGTTCTGAACCTCCCCACCATCGGTGCTAGAGTTGAGTTCCAGTATTGACCAGGCCCCAGCTGACTCTGGACAAGGTCCTTTGGTCACCTTGATAAAAGGGCAGCCCTCAGCCTTGCCTGTGTTTGTCTCATCACCTTGTAAAAGAATTGTCTTATCAGTCTGCATTTACCCAAGACAGTTTGCTTTCCCACCTTTTCTTCTGGAGACAGTCTCCCTCTGTCAACCTGGGTAGAGTGCCGTGGCATCATAGTTCACAGCAACCTCAAACATTTGGGGTCAAGCAGTCCACCCACCTCAGCCTCCCAGAGTGCTAGGATTACAGGTGTGATACATGACGCCTGGCCCCTATTTTCCCACCTTTCATTCACTCAGTGGCCATTATTCCCAGTCTCAACCCAGAGACAAGAGTGAATGCTGTGCCCAGAAGTAACTTGAAATAATTCTTGACTCTGTTGTTAGTTGGCCAGTTTTAATAATGAGTTAATGCTTCTCTCTCCCCCTCCCCCATCCCACTTTTTGGGTAATTTTATTTTGGGGATATGTAAGATATTTACATATACAAAATTCAAGTTATGAAAAAGCTCTAATCAGGAGCATTCCGATCCTGTCTGCTCCCTGCTGTTCCCATCCATCATTTTCACTTTTAGTTTATTCTTCTTGCCGTTCTTATTCATAGAGCTAATATATCTGGGAGAGGGCAGTGGCAAAGAGCTTGAGGAAGTGACAAGCTGAGCCCAAAGGGGTGACCAGAATGTGTTAACCATACCTTGTATTAAGTATGCCAAACAATCACTAGGAAACTTTGCCCAGTGCAGAGGAGGCAAATGTGCCACCTGTTGAATCATTTCCATTCATGCTGAAAACACACTGATTGAGCTTGGGTGCATGCCAGGGAGCCAGATGCTAGGCTGAGGGGGAGCAGGGTGCAGGGATGAAGAGTAGGAAGCCCAGGGTTGGAGTACAGAGGGCTTTGGGCATTGTCTGGGCATTGTCCTCTACATGAAGGATGATAATGCTTGTTTCTTTTTTTGTGAGGCAGAGTCTCACTCTGTTGCCCTGGGTAGAATGCCATAGCTCACAGCAACCTCAAACAAACTCGTGGTCTCAAGCTATCTTCTCACCTCAGCCTCCCAAGTAGCTAGAACTACAGGTACCTGCCACAACAACCAGCTATTTATAGAGATGGGGTCTTGCTCTCGCTCAGGCAGATCTTGAACTCCTGAGCTCAAGCAATCCACCCACCTCAGCCTCCCAAAGTGTTAGAATTATAGACATGAGCCACCAGGACCAGCAATGATGCTTGTTTCTAAGGGTTGTCAGGATTAGATAAGATAGATGAACACAAGGGCTGAGTTCTTTGTGGGCTGAGCCATTTCCAACCTCTTGCTCAGGACAAGCCTATGATATGGGAAAATTCACTCCCAGCAGAGGAAACAGTCTGTGCAAAGGCCCAGAAATATGAATTTAATCTATTCAGGGATTTCCAAGTGGAGGGGGAGGGGGCCAGCCACAGCAGCTAAGGCTGTGGGAGACAGAAGCCAGATCATGCAGAATGGGCGTGAATTCAGAAAGCTCTCCCACTGCCTAGCTGCAAGCAGTTCATCCCTCTCGAGCCCTGGCTTCCTAATCTGTAATGTAATAGTCATGCTGTACAGAAACTGTTATTCCCCTTAGCCAAACCAGGGCCCACTTGCCTGATGTCCACAGGTCAGCAATTGAACCGGCAGAGCTGCTATTGAGGACAGAGGGCAGAGAGTGTTAACTGGAGGAATGTGAGCCTGGCAACACTGGACAGGAAGTTTGTAGGAGGGAGAAAGGAGGCAGGGAAGGCTTAGGGAGCTATGGTCACAACCCAGGCAGGAAGTGTCCAGAAGGCCTGGAGGACTGAACCAGTTCAGAATGAGAGACAGCAAGGGGTCAGAAGGCTGGGGCCTGGGAGCACAACAGGGTCACTGATGGAAAGCTAGAATGAATCAGGGTACAAAGCAAAACAGGGTGGGGAGAGTGGTGCATTCTCAGCCCGAAACCCAGGAGGGGCACTCCCATGGTGGAATGGTGTGGAGGTTGTTGTGAAGTCAGAGAGGCTGTGTTTGGAGGCCAGAGAACCCTTGAGGCAGAGGTATGGAAGATGGACAGTAAAAGGTTCTGAGGGAGTGGGGAGGGGTCAGGAGATCTTGGCCTAGGACAGAAGGAGGGGGAGGCTTCCTGTGAATTTGGTCCTGCTACTTTCCCTGTGGGTCTCATTCCCTGCAAAAAAGCAAGTTGCTGGTGTCACTGGTCTGCTCCCTCCTAGGTGGTAGCATTCCTCTCTGCTTGCTGCCTGCCCCCTCTGTAGTCTTGGTGCCCTCACCCCTTACTCAAGGGCCTCCTATGGGAGAGCAGATCCGGCAGACACTGAAGCAGCTCCAACCAGGTCTTTTCAGCACAGCTCTAGCAAAGATTGTTCTCTCCCTCCCTGGCCCCCCAGCTGTATTTCAGAAACAGCTATCGGAACAGCTGAAGCTAAGATACTGAGTCTCCTGCTACCCTAGACCCCTTTCCCAGAGCCTATAGTGCAGGCACCCATGGGAGTACATGGAGTCACTGGAGGCTTGAACAAAGTTCAACCTCTGGCTTTGCATTGCCCAATCCCTGCAGCCTTCTCTGGGGCCTGCCATTTCCGTGTTTCCTTGCCTACTCACAGGTTGGGAAGAAAGAAGAGGTTAGGTACAGGCTAGATGTTGCCATGGGGACACCTTTCCCTCCTCCTTCCTCTGGCCTCCTCTTCTTTCACAGTGGCCTTACGCACCACCCACCACCCGTAGCTCTCTGTCCTTCCAAGTAGCCCATGTGAGGCACATCTCCTGGTGTACTGAGGTTCAGGAATTGGCATACCCAGGGCTTGGCTGCACTGCCCATACAGGAGGGGCTGATGGGGGTGGGGAAGGGCTGCAAGTGAGAAGGGAGGGGGCTCGGCCCAGGGGCTACAGGGAGGAACACTGCCCCTTTGAGGAGGCTCCACTGGGGACCCCTACAATGGATGACTGCAGACCTGCAGATTGTAGCCTGGGCCCCTCCAGGACCCATGGGGAATGACCTCTCAGGTAATTATACCTCCCAAAGCCTTTCATCTCAACATCTTCAAAGCACCTGTGATTAAGATGTGCCCCCCCCTCCTTTGAAGGCATCTCCTGGAGGTTTACCCAGAACAGGCAAGAGGTCTAATGAGTCACTGCAGCACAGCGACTGGGACACCCAGGCCTCTGCCTTCCTCCTCTTCCTCTCTCCTCCCTCGCCTTAAAGCTTTCCTGAGAAAACCCAGGACCCAGCCTCCCTAGCTCTCTGCATGCCTTTGACCCATGATGGGCCTCCTTTTCCTAAAGGCATGTCCAGGAAAGTTTGTCTGCAAACTTTATAGAGAATTCGAAAGATGTTCCTAGTGATTCCAAGGAAACTGGAGAGTGTATCCTTCTCTGTGGCCTGATTTTGTTTGCTGGCTTGTGTCGGCTAGGTGAGTTGGCAGGGGGATTAATCACAGCTAGGCTGGGGATATAGGTATGTGTGCAACCGAGAGCGAGCCAGGTAAAGGAAGCTCGCTCTTTCTTGGGTATCCAAGTCAGGTTCTTGTCACAGCAATCTGTGAATCATCATCAGCCGCATCCCTGAGTCACTCACACACACCCCCAGATGGCATCCCCCAGGAATGGCCTCATTCTGCTTGCTGATGCCATTGATGTCCTTGATGTCACCCTCCCAAAGGGAAGGGCTATGTGAAGTGGGGAGCATTTGTCTCGCTGGCTGATTTCCACCAGTGAGGGCTGACATGGGTCCTGGGTTCATTTAACAACATCCTACCTGGGCGGTGCCTGTGACTCAGTGAGTAGGGCGCCAGCCCCATATACCAAGGGTGGCAGGTTCAAACCCGGCCCTGGCCGAACTGCAACAAAAAAAATAGCGGGCGTTGTGGCAAGAGCCTATAGTCCCAGCTACTTGGGAGGCTGAGGCAAGAGAATCACCTAAGCCCAGGAATGGGAGGTTGCTGTGAGCTGTGTGACGCCATGGCACTCTACCTAGGGCGATAAAGTGAGACTCTGTCTCTACAAAAAAGAAAAAAAATATCCTAGAGGGCCTGCCCTGTGCCAAGTTGCCCAGATGTGATCTGGGCTAAATAACATTGCCTCTCTATGCCTCAGTTCCCCAGTCTGCAAAGTGACAGTCACTGCTGCTTGCTGAGACAGTAAAGAGCTTAGTGTATATAGAGCAGTGGTTCTCAACCTTCTTAATAACAAGATGTCTTTTCATTGTTAAAAGGGGTCGCAACCCACAGGTTGAGAACCGCTGACATGGATACTCAATAAACAGCAGTTTTGGGCAGTGCCTGTGGCTCAAGGAGTAGGGCACCAGCCCCATATATCGGAGGTGGCAGGTTCAAGCCCGGCCCCAGCCAAAACTACAATAAATAAATAAAAATAAACAGTAGTTGTGATGAAGATGATGATGAAGAAGACACTAAAGCCAGCCCCTGTGTGGCAAAGTTGGGGGAACACAAAGATGATTAAGACCTAGTCCTTTTGGCTCGGCGCCTATAGCTCAAGCAGCTAAGGTGCCAGCCACATTGAGCTGGCGGGTTTGAATCCAGCCTGGGCCGCCAAACAGCAACAACTATAACTAAAAATAGCTGGGAGTTGTGGTGGGCACCTATAGTCTCAGCTACTTGGGAGGCCGGGCAAGAGAATTGCTTAAGCCCAAAAGTTGCTGTGAGCAGTGCTGCCACAGCACTCTACCCAGGGCAACAGCTTGAGACTGTCTC